ATCCTGGTGACCTTAAAATATAAACCTGCTTGTTTTTCTCATGTGTCTCCCTGTCATCCTTTTCACCAAGTCTCCTCACCCTCACCTGAACCCGCTTTCCGCTTTTCTAGTTTCATAAATGGAATTTACGATTATTGTCTTGAGACTTCATCTTTTACTGTGAGCTTTACTGCAGTAGGTTCCCCAGAACATACTGACTGATTTAGTTTTGTCTCAGAATTTGATGTGTAGTTGTTACTTTCATTCTTAATAGTGAGTTTATTTAATGTTGGTGAATGCTTCTTTGTTTTCAATTTTGTTTTTGTTTTTTGTTTTAATTTATAATGCTTTGTAAGTTTAAGACTTGCTATAGATTACACTATGCATGTACAATTTATTAAGGTCTATGGTCATGCACGTTTTATCATTCAAGTGGAATATAGATATCTGTATATTTTTTTTTTTTAAATGTATGTGTTAGTGTATGTCCGTGCATGTGTGTGCAGGTTCACAGAAGCTGAAGGACAAGCTTGATTGACATTGCCAGGAATGCTGTTCATTTCCTTTGAGACTAGATCTGTCTCATCAGCCTGGAATTCACAGATTAGGTTACGGTGGCTGGTGAGTGAGTCCTCACCCTATCATTACTGGGATTACAAGTAGTCTCTGTGGCTGGCAGATTATGTGGCTCTTAGGGCTAGGTTCTTGTGCTCATGCAGTAAGTACTTTACTAAATAAGGCACTCCCTCACATCCCTCTGCACGCCCCCCCCCTTTTTTTTAGAGACAGTGTCATTTGTAGCCCAAGCAGCCTTAGATTTTCCAAACGATGGGATTGCAAACATTTGCCACCATTTGCAGCTGGAACGCAGATGTCTGTAAAAAGTTGCATCCTCTTCTTCCTCGTCATCATCATTTTTTTATGGGTATGGGTATTTAGCCTGTATGTATGTCTTGTGTGCCATATATATCTTGGTGCCTGCAGAGGCCAGAAGAGGGCATCGGATCCCCTGGAACTGGAGTTACAGAAGGTGTGGGTGCTGGGAATAGAACCTCTGTCCTCTGGAAAAGCAGCCAGTGCTTTTCACCACTGAGCCGTTCCTCTAGGCCAAATGTAGATATCTTAACCACCACCAAAACTGTTTTTATCATCTATTTGTGTTTAGGAATGCCTCCTCATGAATGGAGAGTGCAATTAATTTAACTTCTGTTTAAAAGCACTTTTAAAATTCAAGAAATATACTGCACTTAGTCTTTTTCTCTGTTGCTATGATTCTAAATATCCTTTGAGAGTTTCTTACCATTCTGAACAACTTTTGAAATTGTATAACTTCTTTTGAATCATCCTCTGAGTCTCTCTTCCTGTTCCATCTGCATTTGAATTTTGCACATTGGTTTGTGTCTGTCAGTCTTGCTAATTCTTTTACCCAATTTAGTAGCTTCTTGTAGAGATTGTTTCTGATTTTCTGTAGAATTATTTATCTGTGATAGCTGTAATTGTACTTCTTCCTTTCCAATCTGACTTTTTAATTTTTAATTTTTTCGTGTGAGCTTTATTATGCTGGCTAGAAAGTTGAGGATGATGCTTAGGTCAGAATGGTCAGAATAACTTTCTCTATCTTGACTCCTCTCTCAGATGAAGTTTTAACATCGGGTGATAAGTGTCAGTTTTCCCATTTAGAGTTAGATATTGTTACCTTAGCAGTTTCTCTCTGTCCTTAATTTATTGAGCTCTTTCATTCTACATGAATACTGTATTTTTGTCACACTGTCTATTGGGATAGGTGTTTTCCCATATGTGTATTTTCACTTACTGACTTTGTATGTTTAATGAACCTTGCAATCCTGCAATAGATAACACTTAGTCATAAAGTACTACTGTTTTTGTTTGTTTTTAACATATTGTTATATTCAATTTGCTTATTGTTAAGAATTTTGCATGTATATTCATCTAAGAGGTAGAAGAAGTAATGTGTGTTTGTGTTTCTTGTTGTAACTTTGGTTTTAATGTTAGGATACTACTGATGGAGATTAATTTTCTGGATGAAGGATTTGTATAGAACTAACTAGTTTTTAAAATGTTCAATCACAGGGAAACTATTTGGGCTGAGAATATTTTTTTAAACTATAAATTCAGTTTCTTTAGTAAATATAAGATTATACTGGATATCTGCTCTGTTATAAGATTTGATTTTGAGTTTCAAGAAATTTGTCTATTGTATTTTAATTGTCAAATTTACTGTTCCAAATTTGTGAGTAACCTTCACTTATTGTTTAAAAATTCATATTTTTCATATTTGAAATTTGCACACACCCCATTAGTATTAGTGGGGTTTATGAATTTTAATTATCTTAACCAGTTTTTGTTTAATTGATTTTTATTTCTATTATTTTTGCTTTGCTTTTTATATTATATCATTTCCTTTGCTTGTTTTGTGTTTTATTTGCTAGTTTTTTGGTTTTTTAAGCTCGATGCTTACATTGATTTAAAACCTTTTTCTACGTAGGTTCTTAGTACCACACTTTTCCTCGCAAGTACTGTTTTAGCTATAGCATTGAACTTTTGATAGATTTTCATTTCCACTAATTTTGAAATATTTTGTTATTTCCTTTTGATATTAGTTTAGACCCTGTGCATTACCTAAAAACATGTTATTGTTTTTAAATGTAATTAGAGACTCCAATGATCTATCACTTAATTACATTGTTGTGGACAAGCTTTGTGTGCTTTGAATTCTTTAAGTGATTTACTTCATCCAGTTACCATTTATTTTGATAAATGTCCTATTGTTAAGTGGGCAGTCTATAAATGTTTCATCAAATCACTTGATAATGTTAAAGTAATTTACAGTTTAAAATGTAAAATTAAAGGGCTGAGAGGTTAAGAGCACTGGCTGCTCTTTCAGAGGACCTGGGTTTGGTTCCCATTATCCTCAGTGAGTGCGGCTCACAGCCATCTGTAACTCCATTTGACCCCTCTCTGACCCCCAATTGCACTAAGCTTGCATGTGATGCACATGCGTGTACATATGCCAGGCAAACACACAAAATAGAAACAAGTGAGTCTTTTGAAATAATGTATCTCTATGAAATATGCCTTCTTTTTTTTTTAACCATTTAGTATGTTTTTTAAATCACTATATATTGTTTCTTTACAAAAGTTATATTATCTTCCATCTCTCATGCTCCTTTGCAATGTGATCTTGATGCAAATTATGGAGTTCAGCTTCTTTCCTACCTAAATAGGGTGTCCTAATAACTTGGAATCATATAATGATGCTGAGAGGTTTGGGGGACAAAAATCAAAAAAGGCCACATGGGGCTCCCCTGGCTGTTGGGAATTGCTTCACCTCTGCACATTTCTTTCTCAGATTTCTGTCTGCAGAACTTTAAGAACTCACGCCAAACAGAGAAGCCTGTAAGTGGTCTGCCAGCTAAGCAGGCCCTGCCTGTGGCCCTCCCAGCCCAGATGTCAGGTGCAGGGGTGAAGAGGGTGTAAAGAAACCCTCCAGTCACAGCTTTTGGGAGTGTTGAGACCGCCAGCACCAGTCACTGAGTCCTAGCGTAGGAGTCCTCCCACCTGACCTGCAGGACCCTTGACCACAGCAGCGCCCTTCTGGGTCATGAAGGAGATGACGCGGAATGAACGCTTAAATCCCTGCATTTCTGAAAGTCTTTAACCTCGCTCTTAACTCCTGTGTTCCTATGTGTAAGGAAACCATCTCTCAGAGACTTGAAGTCATTTCTCTGCTGCCCTGTGGCTCCACATTCCGGTAGACATGATGCCCACGTCATTCTCTTGTGTGGGCAACGTGCCTTTCATTTTGCAGGGTTAGACATTTTACCCAAGTGCGTTTAGATAGTCCGTGCCCTGCTTCTGTCTGAGGACTCATGTGTTTATTTGTTTCTCTATTTGTAAAGTGTCTTTTCAACATCCCCTCTCTTATGCTTTTAATTCTCTTAGAAGTTGATTACTCTTTTCTAAATTGTGGTTGGTCATTCTGCGTCACTGTTCTTCAAGGTGATTCTTGGATGCTTTGTTCTTGTTGGTTGCCTGCTCTCTCTCTCTCTCTTTCTCTCTCTGTCTCTCTTGTTTTCTTTGTGTTATAGCTATTATCTTCTCTATAAATATGTATTTAGTTCATAGCTGCCTGTACCCAAAAGCTTTTGACATGATACCAGAAAGTGTTTAGAGGCTCCAAATCTTCTTAGAGAATCCCTGGGAAACTTCCTGGGCGTTGGGGGTTAAATACTTTTCTTTCACTCTGTGGTCCCATGGTATCAGCGGGTTGTTAGTAACTGGTTTCTGCTTTGGTCCTTAGGTAGCTTCTGCATGGAGTAACACCTTGGCATCAGTGCTTATGAAAATATGGCCATCACCTTTAATCAGATCTCACCTGTCTTTTGTCTTTTGGATTCCTTGTGGTTTTATAAGGAAACCACTCCTTTGCTTTTCAGGGCTCTCAGAGTTTGGGAAACCCGTGGGTTGGAGTTGCTCAGTTTGTAATTTCAGCCCATGGTGGATGGTGTGTCTTAAAGGGCACAGAAATGTCACATAATTTCTTAGGCCTCTGCGGTTTTGGTTTTTCTATGCCAGTTATTTATTTCTTAGGCCTCTTGTATCAAAAGTAGGGCACACTTTTCATGTACCCTTTAATTTTGTGTCTTTCATCTGTCCATGCATCTCAGTATCTGAAAATCAAAATATTTGTAAATTACATTAATAAAAAAAATGAGGCTCAAGCTTTAAATTTGTGCCAGTTTGAGTAGAATAAATTGTCAGAGAAATGTTGTAGCAAAATTGGCAGTTTTTTTTCCCCTAAGGAAGATGTTGCTTGTGACCTTTCTATTTTCTTTTCAAAAGTATTTAGAGTGATTTATAGTAATAAAGGAGTCGCAGCTTCATCTGGTGGTGAAAGAGCCATTGAAGACACATTTGCTTAGGCAAATAAACTAGAATGTTAATAGTGCTTTTTTTCCCTATGTGGTTACTGACTTGAGACACCATACAATCTCTTTCAGAGCCACATCTCAGACATGTGGAAAAAGATGTTCTGATCCCAAAAATAATGAGAGAAAAGGCCAGAGAGAGGTGTTCTGAACAAGTTGAAGGTAAGATTCATATATTCATGTAAAGATCAAACTCATTTGTAATAATGGAATGTGAATTTAATCCTTTGCCTCAAAGTCAAGTTGTCAGTGAATTAATATGTATGAGTTGCTTCTCACACTTCCACTGAGATAGAGGTACTAGCATTCCAGCTCTCAGACCTCCAGTCAGGGTTCAGTTCATTTACAATTTAAAAGCATCCCTCCTGTTCAGGAGCAAGTTCTCCTTCCCAGCCTGTATTTTACAGAGAAAACCTTAATGTGAGTGTTCAGAAGGGCCGCTGGAGAGAGAGAGAAATTATCAGGTGTGGTGTGGCCTCTGGTAGCCTGTTCTTAGGTCATACACACACACACACACACACACACACACACACACACACACATGCGCGCGCGCGCGCGCGCGCGTGCTTACACAGCCATGGTTTCCCTTAATGTCGGGTCTTGCTTGAACTTGCTCTGTGTGTGCTCTGCTGTGACCTGTGATTTGAAGTGGAAGTTACCATGTAAATCATGTAGGGGTACTCACACATGCATGTCTTTGAAAATGTTTTTCACAGTACTGTTCCTGTGTATGGTAATTTTAGAAATATTGTTGATTGATACATAGCACCCTGGTGAAAACACAATAAAAGTGATAGCGATGACTAAAAACTGGGATCACCATAGCATAGGTCTGTAGTTGCTGGGCTGTTAGAAATGCTGTAGATATGGCTTTAAAAGTAATAGACTTCTTGGTTGGAGAGATGGCTCAGCCTTTAAAGGCTAGGCTCATAACCAAAAATATAAAAAGACCTCTTGGAATGGCAATTAAAAAAAAAGGCAGTAAAATTTTGCTAACGTGGCTGGGGAGATGGCTCGGTGGTTAAGAGCACTGGCTGCTCTTGCAGAGGACGCAGGGTGTCCCAGCACCACAGGGCCGCTCACATCACCTGTAACTCCAGTCTGTCTGACACCCTCTTTTGTCTCATTGCACACCATTACATGTAGACAAAACATTCATGATACATAAAATAAAAAATAATCAGTCTTATTTATCACCTTTGCACAAGTGTGCAGTAATTTCTAGTGAGGGAATTGTGCCACAGTTCACTGCAAGTTTTTTTTCTGGGGAATCAGGTCGTGTTATCTCTAGTTTTATGACTGTCAATAAAGTTAACATGCTAGGGACCTTTTTCTTCTTTTCCCCCTTCGACCTTGAGTTGACTTCTGGAATACAGTGGAGGCAATAAGACAGGAATAGTTCCTATGGGAGCTCTGTGTTGCTTGCACCGTAAGATCAGTATGAGTATTGTACTTGGAACCCTCCATCAATTAGTGGCTTAAAACCCTCCTGTCATATTACTCTTGCTTTCATTGGAAATGAATTGTTTAATCACAGCGCCTCCCTTCAGCTCCCCTCCCCCAGGTGCCAGGAGAGATTAGCCCACTGGCACCTGCAGGGTTCAGGGCACATCTGGCATTGGCAGGTGTCACACTAATAATCTCAAGAGGCGGTCTGCCACTTGCCTCATGGGACTTTTCAAAGCACATCCTTATTCAGGCGAAGCAGGGGGAGTTTTTTGAAAGTGGAATAAAGTTGTTGGGGTCGAACTTTCCACTACCAGGATCACCAGTCTAGAGTGGTAAACACAAGCGCATCTTTCCTGTTGTGTAACCCATTACCGTGATACCTGGGGTGCAAGAAAGCGAGCTGACTCAGTCACCGGCTAACTCGTATGATTCGGATGAAGATGCACAGTAACCGCGGAACTCTGTGTTGGTTTCTGAGACGAAAGAAAGAGCAGGCTATGAACTATCTGTACTTTATGATGACTACAGTACAGTCCTGACTTTTGTCAGAAATTATGTTATTTAGCATGTTAAGATTTTGGTTTTAAAAAATTACAATATTTTGACAAGTACAAGCATCTTAGTTGGTGGCTGGTGAGGTGGCCCAGGCATTTGCCACCAGGCCTGGAGACCAGAACTCCACTGCAGGTCCTACAAGTTGTCCTCTGACCTCCCCCCCTCCCCCCAGACACCTTGGCGTGGACCCCTGCATACACACAAAACATGCACATGCACAGTAAATAAGTAAATACATATAAAAACATGAATGAAAACATCTGAGAATTTGAGATTCATTTAGATGATTTGATTGATTTTCCATTACTAGAAAGTGTGCTGTAATTTATTTCTGAGTATTTGAATATTAACTTTTTTTTTTTTTTTTTTTAAAACACTGTTCCTAAATAGTGCTTAGAATGTGAAATTATTTTATGGACACATACCGCTCCTTAGCTAGTATCTGCCCCATGGCAGGAGTGCACACTAGTACCAGGCCGGCCCTTGGGGCTGTGCCGAAGCAGGGTAGTGGGTCACAGTTTAGAGCCAGGACATTCCCACTTACATACTGTTTGTACTCTGCTTTATTAAATGGTTATGGGATTTATTTCACTTAGGAGCAGGATGGATGCTAATTGTATGGCTCCTGAGTAAAGATACAGGAATTGTAATAAGCAATCCGACTTTGTGCTAAACGTCTGAAACTGCTATGCAGGAAAGCTGTTCTGTTGCTTTTTTCCAGGGCCTTCCGACCCAGCTGGGTGTAAGGGCTGGGTCAGACTGTCAGCAGCTCAGGTTTGTGAAGGAGACAGATAGAGGCTTTTCTAGGGACGAACGGATGGAGATGACATCACTTTCAGTGAAAGGCGGGTGCCTTGTTAGAGCCACCAGCAGCAGGTATCGACAGCCACACTTCCTGTTAACAGGGAGCATTTAACTAAGAGTTTGGCTGTCGGATCTTTGGACTTGATCTAATTTGCTAGCATTAATTAGTTTCTTTTGAGCACAGACACTTGGTCCTCACAGCTATAGATTTGGAGGGCTAATTAGGGTAGAAAATTGAACAGAATGGGGTAAGGCATTAACCTTCCACCGTTACCAGCTGGGACACTGATAAAGACCACAGAGTCCAAATGGTCGCTATTGACGTGAAGAGTACCCTCATGAATATCAGTGTCAGCCCGGTTGCTGTGTCCTTACTGGTGCTCTCTCCACTGTGATCTTTAACCAGCTTCTGTAGTACCTTTGTTACCCACGCACTATTGGGTTTCACTATACAACGCTTTGTTCTGAGTTGCGCATATTTCATCGGAGGTTTAGAGCCGTAAAACCGTCTTTAAGCAATAGGTGATGTTTAAAATCTTTCATTATTTTATTTCCAAGTAATAAAATTTGACTTTAGTATACAATTAAGTGATCCTGATTCTGTACACCTCCTAAATGCTGGGATGAAATGTGTGTGTCACCGTGCCCGGCTGTAAATGCCTGTAATCCCAGTACTTCGGATGTGGAGGCTGGAGCATCCAGGGTTTGACACTAACCTGAACTATAGAGTGAACCTTTGTCTGGTGTGTGTGCGTGAGTGCGCATTTCATACATACATAGAATAAGAAACACAAGTGTGTGTTTCTTTTTTGACTAGAAATGTCCTACTTATCGTTTGATTATGTAAAGGGAGTATATAAAGAGGTTATTACATGGAGTGTTCTGCTCTTATTTGTATAAACTTTGACAAGTTTGTAAAACTTTTATATCAAAAGAGAACAGCTTCTATCATCCCTTCTCTGCCAGCAGTATTTGTGTTCATGAATAAAGCCACTAGAACAAATGACTAAAGGCTGTGAGCTGTCCTCACCTTACTGGATGGGACTGGTGGGAAACCCCAGAGAGGCTGAATTTCTGGACCCTTCGCCACCCCCACCCCAAGCAGAAGCCCCTCCCCTTCCTGACAGCTGTGATGTACTCTTTCAGTCAGGATTCTAGGCATTACCTTGTTTTAAGGAGATGGTTAAATTCCTTGTTACGTTTCTTGGCTTTTTGTTTGTTTGTTTGTTTTTAAATATGGAACACTTCATGAATTTGCGTATTATCTTTGTGCAGGGGCCATGCTAATCTTCTCCATCATTCCAGTTTTAGTGCATGTGCTGCCGGGGCGAGCGTGCTTCTTGACTTTTCCAGTGCATAGTTGACATTCGGTAAATGTTTGCTATGTTGTCTCACGGTTTTTTTTTTTTTTTAATAAAAGTAAGACTTTCCTTTTTATTATCAAGATAAATAAGTATTTTGTTATCAGGAGTGACCTAGAACACTCTTTAGCCTGGCCTTGTTTTAGCCTGTGTTTGTGTTGTAGTCTTCTTAATCTTTTGGCCAGCAAGTGGAGGTGCTGTCTAAAGGAATAAATGTAAAGTAACAAGATAGAACATGAAAGATGAAAATCCAGAGACAGACACCGGGGTTCAGGCTGAGGGTCAGGTAACCAAAGCAGCTGCTGCCCCCCCTTACCTCTCCCTCGGACTGAAAGGGTGGTCTGGCTCGCTCCGTGAACCCTCACACTGCAGTCCTAGACTGCTAGACTGCTGCTGCCGCTCCTCAACGTGGCTGGAGACTAAATCTGTCCTCCAAACCTCTGACTGCAGTTCTGCCTCCACCAAGCTTCAGACTGCTACCCCAGACTGCTGCCTCTTCCTTTCATACCCCTCAAAATTAGGATTCAGTGCGTGTAGTCCCAAGTGCTGGGATCACCTTTTTGTGAGCTGTTTCTCTTTCGGACTGGATCATTGTCATGTAGTTCAGTGTGGCCTTGAACTAACAGAGATCCACCTGCTTGTCTCTTGAGTCCTGGGATTAAAGGTGTGTGCCACCTTCCCTGGCTCTGTGGCTGTGGCTAAATTTGCTTTCTGTACCCTTAGGCAAGCTTTAATAAATCATAAGCAATATATTACTACAACAAGTATGTTTGTGTCCTTGGAGCATTACAGAGCTGACATTAAGTAGCAAGAAGCTTGATAAAATGCCTGCCTTCTCCTGTCAGACTCAAATGGTGTGTGAGTAAAGCAGCAAACAACAGAAAAAGAAAGTCCAAGTAGGACCACGTGAGATGTTCTTAAGGGAATTTGCAGAGAGCACTGAACGATTAACGTCTCCGCTCAGCTGCGTGGCTTGAAGAGCCCACACCTTTCCTTTCTTTTGTGGTTGGGTTAGACCATTGTTGTCATTCCATGTCTTTGCCCTTTGCCTCAGTTTGCTGATCTTAACCGACACTAAAGTGGAGATGGGACGGCTTCAGACTGGCTTGGATGCATTGGGAAGGTCATGTCACATCACTGGTATAGTGTCTTGTATGTATATAGCAATGTTGTTTAAGAGGTACAGATGGATGTAGAGTCCATCTGATGCGCACGGCCCTAACACACTGGATTGTGTTAGGGTTCCTACAGCCACCCCTGGATTCAGGGATTTGCTGTAAGACCTCACCACACAGGCATGATCATGAAAATTATTTGCAGTTCCCAAAAATCTTTTCCTGGTAGAGTCACTTACTGTGGAATTAGCTTTGCCAGTGTGGGATTATGACAGTGCAGGTTAGGTATGGTCTACCAGGGAAGCTTATTAGAGAGACCATCCATAGACACAGAAGTTTGACTGGGAGTTGGGTCTGTGGGCAACTTCTGCCTAATAGGTACCATGATTTCAAATTCCTAGAAGGAAGGCTGTTGTTGAGTATAAACCATATTGCTTGCACAGACAACTTGAGCTCAGTGAGCCACTCTGGTCAGCTGCATAGCGATGAGCACATTCTCCCAATCCAAGTTCTTAGATGCCAGCCAAAGCCCAGCCTTGACAGCGAACCAGCCTCCCGGGACAGTGGCAGGGTCAGGTATGTTATGTTACCTGTTCTGTGAACGGACATCATAAAAGTTAATTAGCAATACTTTTGTCTTTCTTATGAGGCCTGATGTTATACAACTGAATTAATTTTTTACTAACTGAAAAGACATAATGGTGGTCATTGTTCATTGACCTAGTTGCAATCTCGGGCTTCTACTGCCAGACTTTCGGCTTATTGTGAGTGCCGTATGTTATTAGACACAAATACCCTTGAATATTGTGATTTCAGAAGTAAATCAAACCTTTTAATGTTTTAAATATTTAAATGACAATATTGACAGTGGACTATTGTGAAGGCACCTGAGCTTAATTCTTTGTTTACTTGTTTATTTCTTTGTTCAAGTGGTGTATACATGTCTATGTGAAGGGGTATGCGCATGTATGTGCAGATTGTGCATGTGTGTGCGTATGGAGGCCAGAAATGGAGGTGGCTTCAACCCTGTTTTCTGATACATGGTTTCTCATTGAGTCTGGGACTCATCCACTGGGTAAGACTAGCTGGTCCCAAGACAGAACAGGTGACCCTCCTGTTCTGTCTCCCCAGTGCTAGGACCAATGGCATGCGGCGTGGCCGTGCATCTCCTCTTTTAATGTGGTTGCTAGGGACCCAAACTCAGGTCTTGATGCTTGCACAGCAAATTCTTTTTCTGTTGGTGCTGCCTCCCAGCCGTGAGCATAATAGTTTAAAACAACTGATGTGTGCAGCTAATCCTTGAAGATGCTTCATTGCAGAAAGTTTACATTTGACCTCAGCAGCAAAAAAATGCATATCTTAAGACTTAATAGTATTGTCAAAATGAATAAACATCATTATAAAATATCACAAGGCTTTTATTCCACTATTTCATTAACAAGTTTTTATTATCCTGGTATTCCTGAACATCAACTTTTAATTATTATCTCGTAAAAGATATAAATCCTTTCATCTTATGAGAAATTAATCCAAAATTAGTTATAGTCTTTAAACAGTACTGTGCCCTTGTATTTAAAATCTGTCAGAGATGACACTTTGCTTAAGCTGTCTGATGCTCTTCCTGCGGTGACTTGCGTTCTTTGCAGGGAGCCAGAGCCTGGCTGGTACTTCTATTGTAAACTTTGTTGTGGCGATATCTTATTTGTGCTTTATTTAACAAATAAAGCTTGCCTGGAGATTAGAGTACTGAGCTAGCCACGCCAGTTAGCCATAGAAGCCAGGCAGTGGTGGGAAACACCTTTCATCCCAACACTTGAGAGACAGAGGCAGAAAGATCTCTGTGGGTTCAAGGCCACCCTGAGCTACTTGAAATTCATCCAGTCTAAAAGAGAAACAGCCAATCTGTGGTAGCTTGGCTTTAATCCCAGTACTTGGGAGGTGGAGACAGGAAGGGATGTGGCTGGGTGGAGAGAGGAATATGAGGAGGAGGAGACAGCGGCTCATTGCATTCAGTCTGAGGATTCGTAGGGACGGGATCGCCCCTTTGGGCTGAGGACTCAGCAGAGGTAAGAGCTAGTGGCTGCTGCTCTGCTTCCCTGACCTTTCAGCATTAACCCTCTGTCTGACTCAGGGTTTTTATTATTAAGATCAATTAGAATTCATGCTACATATAATGTAATAGAAATTTTGTCTGTTCAGAATGATGAAGAGACTATTTGGTTTCCACAGAACTCAAGAATGTATTGACTACTATAAAGAGAACCACTAACAGCCATCCTTTTGTGAGTCGGTGTGTGAAAGTGGGTGGTATCATTGTACAATCTGGCTCTTAAATGGGAAGTTACAGATTACAGTTGCGGCCCAGTAACCTCCTTCTAGTTTGTTTTTGTGGTTTTCTTTTCCTTTTCTGTCTTTTTTGTTTTCTTGGGGGGATTGAGAATTACAGAATTACTCAAAGACGAGGGGCCCCTCCTCTGTGGAGCTGCACACCTGTCGGCTCAGTCCTCGGGTGCTGAGAGAGGGCAAGGCCACTGTGGGCTGTCCTGAGATTTCAGGTGCAGCCTTAGCTATGTACTGAGACCCTGGTCCCCAAACACAATACTACTTCTCTTCTTATGTACAGCTTGTTTTTTGTGTTGAAAACGAAAACCTGTTACTTCCTTTAATTGTATCCTACGTGCACAAATCCTAAGTATGCATCTCAATGAATCAGGACAGTGAATGTGCCAGTATAATCACCATTGAGGCCATGAAATAGACATTATCGGAAGCCAGCCTTCCCCTTCTCTCGTCCCCTAATGTCATCCCTAGCAAAGGCAGAAATGAGAGGGGAGTCAGGCAAGAGAGAGGGTGGCTCCTTGGTGAACGTGCCAGGGTAGCTGAAACTGAAAAGGCTCCCAAAGAACCGAAAAATAAAAAAGAACCCTTTAACCTTGCTAGAAAAGTTTGAGGAGGCAAGGACAGGAGTTGATCTAACTGCGGGTCCTAAAAGATAAGAGAGAGAGAGAGAGAGAGAGAGAGAGAGAGAGAGAGAGAGAGAGTGTGTGTGTGTGTGTGTGTGTGTGTGTGGTGACGTCAGGTGTCCCTCAATTGTTCCCCTCAGTTTTTGATAGATTTCTCACTGAACCTGGAGTTCACTGATTTGGGTCAGCTGTCTGGCCAGCAAACCCCAGGGCCCACTTACCTCCGCTGCGCCAGTGCACACGGCTCTGTGTCACCCTTGTGACAAGGCTGCTGAGGGTTAGCCCCGGGCCGCATGCTTGTGCTGAGGGTTAGCCCCGGGCCGCATGCTTGTGCTGAGGGTTAGCCCCGGGCCGCATGCTTGTGCTGAGGGTTAGCCCCGGGCCGCATGCTTGTGTAGCAAGCACTGTAGCGACTGAGCCATCTCTCCCGCCCCCACCTACCTTTAGTGGCACTAAAGAGACGTATCCCTTGAATGCCTACCGCCTGTCCAGTGTAGTGGGAAGTGCTATCAAAGTAAAATAGACGTGAAATTGGCTTTTGAATATGTTGTGGTCAGGTGGATTAGGCAGAAGCCGTATACCTAACTAGAACTACATGGCATGATACAACTTGTAATAGCACTCTTAGATATTAGTTATGGGGAATAAAAGCCAGAGCAGATCCAACTTAAGCAGTGCCTGGGTACAAGTGTCTCCCAGACTGCATGCATTTCTAGTGGTTTGGGTAAGTGTAGGGAAACTGGAGAAACCGTTTCAGACCATAGTAGACCGGGTCCTGCAGAGACAGGCTTTCTCTACCTGTCAGCAGGAAGGCACTTAGAGCCGCATCGAACTGTGGGAGAATTTAGCAATGAAGGTGAAGGAAAGGCTGATTCAGGGTGCTGTACAAACTGGAA